TTCATTAGAGCCGTTCTAATAGACGGATGGGGTCTATTATATAGACAGGTCAGACTGTGTTTTCTCTGCCACCCCCATAAGATAAGAAGGGAGTCATGATGGTCATGGTGTTCGTGTCCTGTTCACTACATTTCTGTGGTCCTTCAGTGGTTCTTTGTGAACAGTTATTTCAGTGCCTAGAACAGTGGTTGGCAACCCTCCAGAATCTTTTTCTATTTTCATCAGACTAAAGCCTTTTGAGAGCTGCAAAACATAAATGTACAATGAACTTCACACTGAACTGATCTTAATTTAATAAAGATAAAGGACTTTTGGGGGAATAAAATGTGGTTTTTGATTTTTTTTTTTTCCTTTTCAGCTTTAAAAAGGTTAGTACTGTTCAAATAAATTATCACTGAAAAAAAATCTCACAGTTACCTCTTGTGCTCTTGTTGAGTGCTGTTTCTTTACTCACCTCCCTTCAGGAGATTTTTTCTAAAATGTACATCAGTCAGATTGTCAGAGTGCTCAGTGTCAGGCAAACATCAGTAATGATCGCTTACTAGACAATAAAACTCACAAGAAGACCATAAATGAAGAGAATCAGAATTAAAGGTAGGTAGTTCTGTGAGTCAGTAACAAACCCTTTAGGATCTATAGGCAAAAAAAACTTGGACCAAAACTTCCACAGAGAATGTCTCATAAAGTGTTTTGGTTTGTGCTTCTGAAAAACGAAGCACAGGAAGTCTGTTATGGCTGGGAGCGTTGTGGCAAATACCGAGGTTTCCCTCACACAATGGAAAAGTGAACAAGAGCATATTTCCAAAGCCTTGGTAACAGGGCCATGAGAAATTGGCAGAAATGACTGTCAAAAAGAGTGGATTCCAGATGCTGTTCACTCCTCTTCTACAAATTAAAAAGAAAAGGCACACTTAAAAACACATAACTTCTAATAATTTAGATCAGGTAAAAATTCACACTGTTGACTGTCTGCAAAGACACTGATTATGCAACAGTGTAAAGTGAAACTGGTTTTTCCTCTGATCTAAAACAGTGGATATCTTCAGAGTCAACAGTGAAACAAGTCTGAGGACACAAGTGCTTTTAATATAGAAGACACCTTCTTTCACATGATGGGTTGTGGTTGACTTGAACAAGACTCTCCAGCCAAGTCGTTGAAGCTGATAACCTGGCTTCCTTCAGGAGATGGCTGGATGGGATCCATGGATCACCCAATGTGCTAGATGGGCCATGTGGCCTCCTCTCTTTTGTAACAATTCCCATTTATTTGTATCTCACTTTGTCTCCCTCAGCCTGTTGACCAACACAGTTGTACAGACGTACAACACAGGCCGGCCTGTGTGGAGCTGCTGCTGGTGCCTGGACAATGTGAACTACATCTACGCCGGCCTGAGCAATGGCTCTGTCTTGGTGTACGACACCCGGGACACCAGCACACACGTCCAGGAGCTCAGTCCGCTGGGATCCAGGTGAGGGAGCAGTCAGTTCAGCAGAATCGTTACGCAAGGTTTGGTTCAATTCCTGACCTGGGGGTGATATCTGTGGAGTTTCCTCTCCCTGTGTTGGTGTGGGTTTCCTCTGGGTGCTCCAGTTTCCTCCGATAGTCCAAGGACACACTGGCTTCTAGGAAAATTGGCTCTGGTGTGAGTGTGTGTGTTTGTGCCCTGTGATGGGCAGGTGTCCCACCCAGAGTGTGCCCTGCCTATAGCCCGTTGTTTGCCGAGATTGGCTCCGCCTGCCCTGTGACGCTGAATTGGACGAAACCTTGAGAAAATGGATGAATGGTTATGTCATAATCTTATTGTACATTAAAGGAACAATCTCACTCTATAGCACTCCCATAGCTGGGCAGCTCCTTGTGTTCATCTCTGGCAAATGTGCTTACATGTTGGAAGCAGACTTGATGGAGTTTGTATAGCTGCTGTTCAGTAGGCTAGTAGTGTTCTGCGCACTCTTAGATTTTGCAAGCACAGACCTGGATCCCTGAGGTGGGTTTTTGGCATTAGAATATCAAAGTTAATTCCGTTT